AACTGCTCTACTTTTATCATTATTGACAGTATTTTCGGATTTAGGGGACATTTTTACATAATAATTGGCTATTACATATATCGAGGATAACATGCTATACCATGGTACACTGAAAGAAATGTTTCTATAAAACAGTATTGTTAAGACGAGTTTCATAAAGAAAATAAGAGGATGCTTAGTTAGAATCATATTCGTTTATGAAGTCAATAAGCTGTGTAGTAACTGTTATAATTTTGATTTTATTCCAGTTGTTTAATACTCGCTATAATCTAGATGCATATTGTTTATGAAATGTTTTCTTGCAGATATCATTTATTTTAGGTTATAATTTTTTTTATAAGAACTATAATATGTCTTATACTGCTTAATAGTCGACTTTATACTCTATAGCACAAGCTATTACGCACATGCGCTTGGTGCATTGTTTTGACCGCGAGGAATAAGTGTCTGTGGCTGTAGTGTTTTGTTTATTTGTTGTGATAATAGCTGGCAATTGTTAAGGGTAAGTTTTTGTAATAATTATACATAATGATAGGAGCATAAGCCTTAGTTTAATAAAGGTGTATGCCTTGATCTTGGAACAGCACAACGACACAGAAGAACCTTCTGTGACAACGAGCTGAGCACGTGGACGCAGGTGCAGGTACACGAAAACTATTTTTATTGATTCCCATTATAATAATTTATTAATTTTTCATTATATAATATACGTAAATGTACAGGGTAAACTACGTAAGGTGACCCATATACTTATAAGTATAAAATATTAAATGGGTCACCTTACGTGGTTTACAAGGATATACTTAGATATCTTAAAAAATACTGGAGTCACAAAAAATAATAGCAACATTTGTAAAAATTAACCAATCAAGAGCAACATTATTAATAAGTGTGGACATGGGAACATTTGCTTTAAATTTTTTTATTATTTATATTCTAAATTAAACTATATTTTATTTATTTATATTAATATATAATAACAATGTTAATATAGTATTAAAAATATACTACCTACATAAATTTTTGTTTTCTACACATTTTTTGGGGCAGTAGTTTCTAAGATAAGTATATGGGTCCCCTTACTTGGTTCATCCTCTACTCACCTACATATATCTCTACTCACCTACATATATCTATAGATTATAATACCTATATTCCCCAATTATGTATTATATGGCACGTACATAACATACATTTATAAGGTTGAGAGTTTAATTTAATTTGTTGATTAAAATTTACGATTTAAATCATGCACTCAGAGAAATATCAAGTTATGAAAAGCATATGAAATTATATTAATTTGAATAATCGGGTAAATTTGATTCAAATAGAAAAATGTGTAGTTTTATATTCATTTACCAACAGTTTTACAATTTTTTGAAACACTTTTAAAGTGTACCCTCTTTAAAATATATATACAAAAAGAAATCCATTTATTTCATTGAATTTCTCAAAGTTGTTTCAAAAAGATATGTATTATACAATTGTTGTGCACCTATTAATTTAATGGGAAACACCAATGACGCCAAAACATATTTGAATCCCTTTGACTTATTATCGTTTTGAATGATTTTACAACATTTTTTCTCTCAGTGTGATAATAAAAAATCATGATTAAAATTATTAAAAAATAGCCCCCAAAACAAAAACAAACGATTTTACTAAATATTAAAAGAATACATTTTCCAAATAATAATTTTAAAAAATTGCCGTTACACGCTGTGGGGTTTTTGTAAGTAGGAATATTTTTACGCTTGTTTTATTTTCTCCCTTGGCATTCTTTGTAAGTTTCGACATTCAAAATTTTGATTTACTTCTGTACTATTATACATATATCTAATTATGTTTATTTATGTTTTATTTATTTCTTGTACCTGTTTTTTTATAATAAAAGTATAAAATTTATAAGAGTTGAACTTTTTATATAACGACCCTTATCCTGCCAGCAAGTAAGTATAATAATTCTTATGAAAAATGCATAATTTCGTATATAAGACATATTTTTTTAAAGTAACTAAATTGCTAATAAAGATAATAAACAGAGTTTGTAAAAAGTATTAGCTACTACATAAAATTAATAAGAATTTTCAAATCACATAGCAATCTGAAGTTATACTGGCTAAAAAACATTTAATACTCGATATAAAGCAGGTTTATAGTATTTAAGATTTTGATTATATCCACTACAACATCATTTTATGGTGGCAGCATATCGATTTTATAAGAGATAATAGTATGTCTAATAACTGTTACAAGATGTTTTAACAAAACCGAGTTTATACTGTCTATGAACTAGTTGGCTGTCCTAATACTAATAGAGAAATCTTATAAGGAGTATTATATTTTTCATAACAGGTATTAGATTTTTCCCTCAGTGTATAAGTGAAAAAGCAGCCACTAATAACTGTAGTAATTAGTCATTTTTGACTAATTAATTTTTAGAGAGTATACTCTACACTATAGTGTTTGTTTCTTTATGATCGTCTAAATTTAAACAGCATTATACTTTATTAAAAGCGTTGATTGAGAAAATTTGCAAATATATATATATTTATATATATATATATATATTTATATGGTATACCAAGAACGGGTATTATATTATGTTGCCATGAATTTGTAGATATACATACTTAGTCGTTTACTATTTCAAAATGCACTTTTCGGCATTTTTTAAAGGTTATGTTTGTACAACAATTATTTTTGTTAAATTTACAAACTTAAATATAAATTATATAAGGTTGAGTTAATTCTGCACCAGCAAATATACGTACCAAATTGAATCCTTTGGCCAAACATGAAAATGCAACGATTTAGTTCTTGAATTTCATTTACAATTAAAAACATAAGCGTTGAGTATATTAATCAATAATATTAGGTATAATAAATCGAAACCAAAGTTTTTTAGTTTTTATTTGCAACGTGCGCGATTTAGGAGTGCAATTAAAACTTTGCGAACCAAATATGTCGAGTAAGACTTCTGCCTTCACCGCTTTTGTAAAAAAACTACTTATTTATTTAAAAATTATGTGCAGTTCTTGTGTTTTTAATGTATTGTTGACAATTCTTATATTCCCACAATGCCATCGAGCGCCACCAGATAGCGTTATACCCACCACACATAAAATTTCTTGTTGTTAAAAAAATCTAAAAACAATAACAGTAAATACCAAATATCATTTAATAAGATATCCAACACTAATATTGTAAATCAAAAAAATCAAAACTGATAAAATATATGTATTTTCAGTAGTAGATTTTGCCGCTCCCTGAATTTGACGCCCTAGGTTTTTGCCTAGTTTGCCTATAGGTTGTTCCGGCCCTGTTTAATAGTATACATTAGTATATATTATAATATCGGAGAATAAATTAAAATAACTCGACAGGTTTGAACAAGATCTGAAGAATTATTTTTAATATATTGATCTAGTCTGGTATTAGTTGAATTATTTTTTAACATAAAAGTCAAAAAAATACTAGGAAGCAAAAAATGACAATGAAAAATTATTTAAATTAAAACTTGTCGCAAAATTTTTAGGGAATGAGAAAACATAAGAAAATAAAGAAAAATGCAAAAAAAATCGAAAAATTGCGAAATCCTATAAATTTCAATTAAAAATTCTTTTATTATAAAGTATTCCTAAATCCTATAATAAATATTATAAAAAATCGAGGGGTAAACTAGCGAGACCAACGTTTAACGTTATATGGACGTTGTGTTCTGATTTTTCCTTATCAGTAATTATAAATAAGTAAAAATCCCTATCAATAAGAAATTTCTCTAAGCTACCCTTGTTCTTGTTTTCCTTGGCCCTTTATTGGTATGCTATTTTTATTTTAAAAAATGCGGTTTATCCTTAAATTATAAAACACAAATTTACTTAAAAAGTTGCTAAAAGTACAGAAAGTTTCCATTTATATACAGTTTTATAAAAAATACTCCTAGTAAACAATATCAATATAATTATTATTATCATAAAATCCCACCGAAATTGAAATTTAAATTAAATTGATGACGCAATGTAAAACATTCAAAAAATAGAGTGTAATTTGTATGTCATCAATGTAAAATGTCAAAAACCAATTTTTCGACATAGGTGCATCGTTACATCAAAGCCAGAGCTCCTGCGGCTTGGAAAAACAATATGAATTTCTGAGCTATGTATATCCTTGCATTGAGCATTGATCAAAAAAATCATATTTTTGTAATTTTTTAACAATATTTTTTTTTATATTAAATATAAAATTAAATGAATTAAATTATTATAAAATAAAATTTTAAATAAATATAAATATAAAAAAAAATATATAAATAAATATATATTTTATATACCTATTAAAATAAATTATTTGTATTACATTAAATGTTTTTACTCATCATATTTTATATTTATTTTTATCCGCAGTTTTTTAATAAAAATTACACAAAGTTTTAAATCTACCGAAAAAGCGCCCGAAGAAGTTGGCAACAATGATTGGACTGCTTGTAACATTTTTATTAAGGACACGAATTTCCGATAAAATTTGTCTAAAGATGAATTGCCTTGCTAGATAAATTTCTAATAAAAAATTTTAAAACTATATATAAATTTTTACAATTTTTTATTGCATATACAATATTGCAAAAAAATCATTTAATTTTTATAAAACATTGTCAAAAGTTTAAAATATGTAATTTAAATCAAATTCCACACACCCATTTCTGAATTATACTTTAAATCAGTTTATTTTTTTTTAAGACTTTTTCGTTGAATGATTTTTTTCATTTCTTTGGTTTCTGCCATAGTTCAATTTTGAAGAAAAATGGTATATATTTAGTTAGTTTTAAAAAATCGACATTATATATTCATGTTTTAAATTAAAATTACTAAGAACAATACTAAACATTTTTTTTTAACCAGTAAATGTCAAAATAAAAAAGCAAGCTCAACAGTCAACAGTACAAAAAATTCAATTAAATTTTTAATCAACAAAAGAGAAATTTAAATCTGTTTTCACAATAGCAAAAACCCACCAAAATGGAATTCCAATCGGCATCAACCAACAAAGAAGTCTAGACCATGCGAAACATCAATGTGAAAAAAGAGACGGACGACCGAGTGTCATAGAAAAGAGGACGAGATGAGGGGACGGGACCGTTCGCGAATAAAAAAAGACAGCACTCCACCCCCCACGCTCCAGAGAGAGACGAAACGGGATACCTGCCTCTCCCGGATCCCCATTGGCCGGAAGGTCTGTACGGCTTATATTTAAGTGTATCTTTGGGATGAGCATCAGTAGCGCATAGTTGTTCCACGCATAAACGTCTCAAGTGAATCAGTGAACTAAACGTTACAATGTTTGAAACACGAAGCAGTGGCGACTCATCACCGAACTCTTCAGAGTACGAGCAATACTCCCCAGCCAAGTTAATGGATTTAACGAACTCCAACGAGAAGTATTTAGTTAATGCTTTGGGTCACGACAGCATGCATCACCAAAGTGCTTTTAATCTGTACAACTTCAACAACAAGGACATTTCGGCCGCGTACAACGGATACTACGAGGATGATTACAGCAGAAGATTGTCGCCGGAATATCAAGAAAAACCTCACTACGAATACGCCGAGACGTACATCAAAGTGGAACCTGAAGAAGATGCACCTTACAAACCCCGCGTGGGGCGCAAAAGGAAAACCATAGATTCCGACGACGAAAACTCAATCAGCGGGAGATGCAAATCGCGGAGGAAATCTCCGCAGAGTTTCGAGGACATCCAGAATCAACGGATCATGGCGAATGTGAGGGAGAGGCAGCGGACGCAGAGCTTGAACGAGGCCTTCGCCAGCCTTCGCAAAAGCATCCCGACCTTGCCGTCGGACAAGCTATCGAAAATCCAGACCCTCAAGCTGGCGGCCAGATACATCGACTTCTTGTACCACGTATTGTCCACGTCGAGTCCAGAGAACGACAGCGACGTTTTGGGGAACGTTTGTTCGTACACTGCGCACGAAAAACTATCCAGGGCTTTCAGTATGTGGCGGATGGAAGGCGACTGGAACACGCAGTTGTGAAAAAATAGTGATAGACTTTTTAAATATGTACAAAGATATCAAGTTTCTTAATTGCTACTTGGTAGGGGGTTTTCGGGACCCATCAGTTGTGATCTATCTAAGATTAAGTTTAAACCATAAAAAATGTTCAACTTGATATGTTGAGAACGACTTTCTGCAGCTGTTTGAGCATGTGTAAAAAACAATAATGGTTTTTTCGCTGTATACTTATACCATTTCCAAATATTAGTTAGGTGTAAATATGCATATTTTATACTAAGTATATTATTAAAGAATTTATGTATTTATTTTTGTTGAAATAAAATATTTTTTTATCATTACGTAACTTGTTTTATTGTATTGATCATACAATACCTAATTATGGCACAATACCCAACATGAATGAAAATAGATAAAGCTTTTATTACTCAGGTAAAAGTAATTTCCAAAACACTGGAAATACCACTAGGGGTGAATAATTCTTAAAATAAAGTGGATTTCTTACGACCCAAAGAACGTTTGAACTTTATAGACAAGGTAAGGTCAATTCTGAAAAAGCAAAACGTTTTGTATAAATTGTATATAATTTTCTAAATCGTCAAAATAACTAACCGTTTTGAAACTTGAAAAAGGCGTTATGTGAACTAAATAAAAAATAATAATTTTCTGTCACTGGGATATTAATAATATTCGGGTAATTTTAGATTTCAATTTATTTTCATAATTTTAATGATGTGACGAAACGATACGAATATATTTCCATACTTAATAGTTTATGTAAAAAATATTTGACAGACATAATAAATCTAATAAATTATTGCTACTACTATAATTTAATAAAGAACCTTTCTCTTTTATGTTTTTATTTTACAAACATATAATAAGAAAATAGTTATTTTTGAAGAAAATCCGATATTTCAGCCTTTCCATTATGCATTATCTGTACGGCAGTTCCTGGATAAAACGTTTCCTGGTAGATGTATTTGGAGAAGGGGTGCTATCGAATGGCCCGCGAGATCACCGAGTTTATCTCCCCTTGATTTTTTTTGTGGGGACATATGAAACCCAAAATGTATGCCACCCAGCCTCCTTCGAATATTTACGGAACCGCATCACTAAATAAACCGTCAATCAATCAATAAAATTAAATTAAATTTAAAAAACGAAGCGCTATTTTAAATACAATTTTCAAAATTTCAGAAGATGTAACACAACATAAATAAAATTAATGTCTAAACATGTCCCCCAAAATACAAAAGTATTCAGGGGTCAGAAGTTTTTTTTATTTTTATATACAAAGCTGTAAACCTTACTGGACTGTTTTTGTTGGGCCACCGTGTATACACGGTTATCTATATATATATAGATAAGTGCTAAAAGTGTTAAAATCCTTGTTGCGAAGTTTTGTTAACAAGTAACTTTAAATCTCGTAAAATGAAAAGTGATCAAGAAAATGAATTTATTCCGGCGGAAATTAAAGAAGCTAATTGTATAGAAATGTACAATCGTTTCTTGAGATGGTGTGATCTGAAATATGTTCAGTAAAAAGGTTCTTTTGGCATAGTTTGAAGAAGCGCCAGTGCCAAAAGTAAATATTTGTTCTGAAATCTCGAAGAAATTCAACTTCAACGAAATATCTTTTAAGCAGGAATTTGTGTATTTTTCGTTTCGGCCATTCTTCAGAGAGAGTATTTCTGCCGCTTTTTATTTAAAGTGTATTTTTGTCACTTTTCATTAAAACGCCCACTTCGATTCTTGTTCGAGTTTTATTTATTTCTTCCTGTCTACTTTATTTTTCAACCGTATAAACTGTTATAATTTTCTTATTAAGTTCCCCGAGTCGGGGAGAACGCTTTTACCTTTTATTTTTACTTGTTTTTGTCGGCTAAAGGAAAACCTCATTTTGTACCAATAAATAAATCTTAAAATAAGAAAATATAATTTAATATTACTTTCTTAGAATCCACGTATTGTATGCTCTAAGGTATATCCGTGTTTTACTTACTTTAAGGTTTAAATTTTCACATTTATATAAAACTAAAAAAAATCGTTTGTTCTGTGATTCGCTATGTTGCATTTCTGTTTTTAACGGTGATAATTTGACAAGACAGTGAAACGGATACTGCAGAAGTAAAACATAATTTTGAAATGTCAAATAACAAATATCTTTTGACTGTTAGTTTTTATTTTTGTAATACACACCTTTTTCCTAAAAATAGTTCCCGCTACGTTAAGATTTAGAAACGGTAATGAATTTTGATGTCAGTTTTGTACGGGGAAATATTACAACAAATATTTTATAAAATTTGAGAATTTTCTATCTGATTTAAAAAAATCCTCCTAAATTAATTTAATTTAAAAAAAGTTATTTATTATTTCTATTTAACTCTTGCTCTACGCAGGTGCAATAAAAACGAATCTTAAGCTTAAATATAATTATTCATACCTTCTCTTTGTTTTTGTTGTTTTTTGTCGTGTTTCTGTAGTAATTTTAGGTTTGTACACATTTTCAACGTTTTTGCATTTTTTCCGTTAGTTTTGTGATTAGGTATACTACTTTCCAGTAAAAGGAATCATTACTTAACACAAAAGTATTTTTAAGATTTTGTATTGTTTGACATATTTGATAAATTGATAATTTTGCACCACTTTTTATAAATACGAGGTGTGTTCAGAAAATATCGGGATGTTTCGTTTTTTGAAACAAATATTTATTTATTCGTCTACATTAATGTTGTCGCCTTCAAAATAGTCCCCATTGGATATTATGCACATGTGCCAGCTCTTCTTCCAATACTCGAAACACTTCTAAAACTCGATCTTTGGGATAGCCTTAAGTTCTTTCAGCGATGCGCTTTTAATGTCATCTATGCTTGCAAAACGACGGCCCTTTAAGGTTCTCTTTATTTTTTGGAATAGGAAAAAGTCAGACAGAGGCATGTCTGGCGAATATGGAGGCTGGGGCATCACTACAGTATAGTTTTTGGCCAAAAATGTTGTTCAAAATTTAACAATTTTAGAACAAATTTTGCTGCCACGCGTTTCATACCCAAAACATTCGAAAAAATTTCATGGGATGAGCCAATCGATATACCAACATCATCAGCGACTTCTCTGATGGTTTATAACCATTTCTTCCACTTTTTCCATGTTTTTATCGGTTGTTAATGTGCTTGGGCGTTCGGGGCGTTCGTCATCTTCAACGTCTTCACGGCCATCTTGGAAACTCTAATACCACTTGTAAACTCTTGTTTTACTTATAGCAGACTCACTATAGGCCTTTGTTAACATTTCACAGAATTTATTTAATTTTTTAAGCAAAATTGGATACAAATTCTTTGATCCATTTCTTTTAACGAACGAAAAATCGCCGAGCTCATAAAACACGTCTAACCTTAGCGGCTGCCACAGACAAAGTAAACAATTAAAACATCTAAAGTTTTTATCATACTTCGGGGGCATGTATACCAACATAATAAAGAAAATTTTATGACAACCGGACCCTCCGAACCCGCGAAATTTAACAAATCCTGAACACACCTCGTATAACATTTGTGTTTATTAAAATTTTTAATAATCCTGCTCACTATAGTATTTCTAAAATCGTTAACGTTGATTTATCATATTGTCTCTAATAATAACTCATAATTTATATGATTTAAAAGATGTTTCAAATGATTTTTAATTAGTTTTTTCTGCCGAATTCCCCGAAGCAGTGTCAGTGTCTTAGTGGCGTAACTGCAGGCAGCTACTGTGGGATCTTCGTAGTCAATAAATTCGGTGTCGGGCTGTCAGTTTGTTGACGTAGTTAAAAGCAGTGTCAAATTACACATTACATTCTCTTTGTTTATGTGTTGAGCCAGTTTAATAATGTACAGGTCGGAATAACTGAAAAATGTTTATTTATATTAATAATCTGAACTCCGCAGCCGATGTCTTGTGTATGTCAAACATACACAAACATTTACACGGTCGCATGAAATTTTACTTTACTGGGAAAATAAATAAGATATCCGGGTGAATTATAATTAGGTATAATTATTATACAAAATTACTAAAAAAATTTTATTATTAAAATGATTTAAAGATAGATTTTTAAAACGTTTTTAATGAAACACTTTAGGTTTCTTATTTTATTATTTTACATTTACTTCAAAGGCGTATTGGCCACATCAATGACATATTCGATTTCAACAGGCTGTAAATCTTAGGTTTAAAATAAGTATCGCGGTTAAAAAACAATGCTTAACTACAATAAAGTAAAGTCATTTGTAGTAAGAGAAATACGTTTTGTATTTTCTACAATTTATAGGAATTTAGCACAGACGAAAAAAGGGGTATTATTATTAATCTACATCAATTTTAACTAATTTTTATAAGCCTTAAATATTACGGGATTTTAGATTAGTTTATGGAAAATTTAGGCAGCACTTGAACATATAATCCCTAAACTTTATAAACTTGTTTTTAGTTTGCCCCAAAAGTAAAAATCCATAATTGTTAAATCAGGACGTCTTGGTGGGTATCTATGGCTGCGGCCCAAATCTATAAATCCATTTTTTCCCAAATGTTTTGTTCAAAAAATTCCTTATCAAGAGTTGAGGCCGATAATAATTTGATTATCTATAAGCCAAATTATTTAATCAAGGTAATTTTGTAAATAATTTTCTCTCCAACATTTTGATTTAAATTTACATTCTTAAAAATGTGTAGTTTTAGGTTTTTGGGGTCAAGGAATAGGAATTTAGGTTAAAATTTAGAAAAACAAAATAGGTGACTTTTTTAAATATAATTTTTTCTGAAAATCAACAGAAAGACCACTTAAAGTGGTCCACTTTTAAAGTAATACCTACAATGATTTATTTTCTTCATGGATTAACTCAGCGAATAAGTGTTTAAATACATTTTGTGAGAGGGGAAGTCTCTTTGAAGAAAATAAAATCACTTTTAAAATCCTAAAAGTTTTGTTAACAAGTAACTTTAAATCTCGTGACATGGAAAGTGATCAAGAAAATGAATGTATCCCGGCGGAAATAGAAGAAGCTGCAAATACATAGTAAAAAAAATATTTGTTAATTTTAACCAAATATTAACCAGATTTTATGTTAATCCAGGGCCCGAAAATCAGTCACTATATATAGCCCGGCCCGGTCAATAAATTATAATTAATAATAATTATTAGGCCCGGCCCGGACCGATATTATTTTATATAGACCGGCCAATAAATAACAATTTTTTGACTTAATAAAGCTAAAAAAGACGCTTTGGGATTTTT